CACTGACTTCCCTTACACTTCGAAGTGTCATCATGCAGATTAAGAGAACAATAGCCTCCATTAGCATTAGTGTTATCATGGAAAGTGCTCATCAGATGGGAGATGAGTGACTCACGGAGGCCCAATTAGCTCACATGCTAAAACCTTGATCAGCTTCATTAGGAAGTCAAGAGCCCATTGTCTTCTAGCTCACCTCTGAAATGATTCCTACGCTCCACAGGTTGTTGAAATACTATGACTTTGATGGAATAATCTTAACCAATTGTCTGTGTTAGCCATGCGTTGTTATTTGTTGAATTTGCTGCCTGAGTCTTATGAATGGAACATTTGAGATCTATAGTATTTGTGGCACAAGTACAGAACTGCATCAAAAGTGACTAATTCTCAGGACTTCTTGGTCTATTTTTACCTCCAGTCCATACTTGTGGTTCTGCTTTTTTGCCCTCCCAGCCTAACTTAAAACAGTGAGTAAGAGTCAGTGGATATTGTTTGGGGAGTTTTGGAAGTAACGGTCCAGGATATGACTGGTGCTAGATGTGACTGGCCTCCTTTGGTATGGTTGGCAGACCCTTGTGGTGGAGAGACTTGGCATTAGCTGCTAGGCAAGGCTAAACTTGCTAGTCTCCTGGGACCCCTAGTGCCCTCTACAGCTAACTGACTGTGTGAAGGGATACTATTACGTGTCCACACTTTTAACTACTGGAGCCAAGCAGCCTCAGTCTGACCTAAATGGCCTAGCAAGTTTGAGACAGCCTGCGAGTGAGCTAACCATGAAAAATCCCCAATTCTTTTGTTTTGTTATCGGCACTTGAGTTGACCTTCCTGACTCTGTGGGAGGAAGGCTGTTGTTTTAACAAAACCAGCAGCGTTTACCTCAGTGCTGAATGAGGCGCCTCACCTTGAGACGGCATACTTGAGGTTTTGAATGGCACGGCTTTGTTTTACTTCGGTTCGAGCTGGGTTTTTTTGTAGTGGTTTGCTTCCCGGAGAAAATGGCATTGCAGAGCCGCGAGGGCAGACTCTGTGACGGCAGGGTCTGCACTCTTTGAGGATGCCTGTGGTAGTTCCACTGCTGCCTGCCTGGCCCTGAGCTCCAAATGAGATAAGTGGCGTACCTCAATGAGGGAGCCTGTACCAAAGCTAAATATAGACTCAGAAGAGAGGTAGAAGGGCAGACAAATAGTTGCTGCTGTTCACGATGAGTCAATCTGTCTAATCACAAGCAGAAACAACAGCAGACCTTTGAATATGTGTCAGTCAGTTGACTGAAATTAGTAGCAGGGAGAGAGCACAACCTTTGATCTGTCTCTTTAAGAGCCAAACTCAAGGAAAAGTGTTTTGGTTGGACATTCCAGACATACCTCCTACACGTTCTGGTGTGGAGTCGTCGGCCTGCACATAAGACGCATAGGTTTTGGGTTCTTTACAGATGTCCTTATAGGTAATGAATCAAGATAAAAGCTTACATCAGACGGTAATGTGTTTGCACAGGCTATATATGTTTCTCTGTGTCCTCATCTAAAGCTCAGCTATTAAGCCAGTCACTCACACCTTGAGGGCCTCAAAGCACAGAGATAGCTCCCTCCCACAGAGGTTGAGATACTGCCATTCCTATCTGGCACGCCTTAGTGTACGAAAGCACAAACCAAGCCATCTGCTGTTGTACAACCACTACTCCACAGTGATTTTCAGTTCTTGAAATGTGTCTTATTAATCAACCAGGCCAGGATCACATAGCATGAGCCTAAAATAAGTCCCAGCGAGTTTACACAATTACAGGACAGAATCTGCTAAATGAACCTCTGTCAGGGGACATATGGCGCTTCACGTACTGAGCTGACGGATCAGTGATGATACATGTGCCAAGGTGATCCCCTCCGATGGGGTAACGTTAGGCCTGTTCTGGGAGTAACCCACCCAGTCGCCCATTCCTCTGCCGGTAATTGATACAGCCTGGCAGGTGTCATAACAACACAGCCCTCTCTCCAGCAGGCATATTTAAGTGTGGCTGACATGGAGTGTCTGGCACTGTCCTTCAATAGACTCTGGGAACTTTGCAACGGGGAAAGAGGGTGATGAGTGAAGGTGACGGTGAAGAAATCCAAGCGGATTTGGCTTCAGTCATTTACTGAGGCATTACTGGGGAACTCCAGCCTTTGCCAGCATCAGCACATATCTGTAGCATGTTGCAAAGATGTGTAGGTGAGGAGTAAATAGGCTTCCATTTCACATCAGCTCGTCTGCTACCATCAATAACAGTTGGAATTGGGACCAGGGTGCATTAGGTCTTTCCTGGTAAAGGTCTGGCTTATCATGTGATGCGGTAAGCTGTAATCAAGACATGTTGGTATTGACTGTGCCCTATTACCCAGATCCATGGAATGTTTTTGTGTGGGAAGGTATTGTGAAGGTGTGATCTTTGGCCAGGGGTTAGGTACTAACTTAAAGCTGAGGTCATGGTTACAGGCTATTATTGTCCCAGGTGTTGAGCACACTACAACCTATAGAGGAAAGCAAACTTTTCGAAGTAAGCTCCTCACCTCCTCCACCTACCAATGCTTTCTCTCTCAGCTGCGTAGGAGTCTTCCTCCTGTTGTGTGCTAGCATGCTAGGGCTAATGAGGCCAGCTGTCCAAACGCTCAGCCGGTCAGCCAGAAGGGACTGCAGCCTTTGTTGATGCTAGGTGTTACATCTCCTGTTGGAACACACATTTTTGTTTCAACACCGCCAACCATTTGGCACAGGAAGACCGTCTCTGTTCACCCCCCCACACCACCACCAATCCTTTACTCTTTCTCTCTCCGACCTTTGCTGTACTTCTCAGCTCCCACTTTTTATTGTCCTGCTGGCCGTTGCCGCCTCCCGTCTGCACACACCAGCACATTGATTTTCTCTCTACAGCTTTATATTTGATCATTTTCTCTTGACACCGCCGGCGGAGAGTGTTGCCTTTGTAATCGCTGACCTCAGCTCCACACCTGAGTGGCTGTGGTCCTAAACAGCCTCTCAGACTCGTCCTAAAGCGCCTTCTGTTTCAGAATGAAGTGTTGCACCCTGTTTGGGCTGCTGAATGGACAATACATCACCTGGCGGAGTCACTCTGACACAAAAGAGAGGTGGGGATGAGGAGAGAGAGGTGGTGTAAGGCAGACGAGGGAGAGGAGAGAGAAGAACAAGGACAGACTAGTTTATACAGTCTATATAAAGCCAATTCATTATCGGTTTATTTGAATGGGATCCCAGCTTTGTGGCTTCCAGGTCTTCAATTGTTCTATTGGCTTGCCTGTTAAGACCTTAAATAGAGTATAGTGTAGCCCGGATAGCAATCCAGGTACAAAGGGTGCGCGTCACCCCTGACTGAGCTGAATGTTCCTCTTCAAAAGTACAATATGGAAGCGGTCACATCATGGTAAAGGAAAAAAAGATGATATCGTGGAGCGAGGAATAGTGTGAAGAGAGGAAAGAGGTTGAGAATGAAATAGCTCTCCTGATGAACCCCGATAGGATTTCGCAGCTGCGGCACAGCGGTGTTGACCCTGCGAACGACTCGCCAAATAACAGTGCTTCTCCCTCCTCCTCCACCACCTTTCATCCATCCGCCCCCACACCTCCTTTCTCCCGCCTCCCCCTCAGCCTGAACCCTGCACGTCTAGCGAGTGTGTGTGTGTGTGTGTGTGTGTGTGTGTGAACATCAACCGGTTGTAATGACCTGCACAATGCAGAGAGAAAGGGAGAGACCTCACCAAAACAATTCTCATTGATTGAAACGGAGGATCATGATTCTCCCAGATACGCCTCCTCCCGACAAAAAAACATAAGCAGCCACTTCAGAAAGACGGGGGCGAGCTTGGTTGGGGTGAGTGAAGATAGAGGGAAAAAAAAGTGTTCAGGTGCTTTGTACTGGCAGTGCATATTCAGAAAGTGAATGCAGGTGGTGTGTGTGTGTGTGTCGTCGTTGTCGAGTGCTCGTGTGCTGCACAGCCGCTGTGGTCTGGCAGTGCGCTGTACTGATGTGAGATACCACAATAGCTTGAGAGGTAGTTTCAGTGCTGCAGCCCGGGCCCTCTGCTGACTGAGCTGCTCTCACTGGAGAATTGATTTGGCCTCCGAGAGGATGTGTAGCTCTCTCAGTGAAACAGAGGGATGGACGGGGGGGGGNNGGATGGAAGCAGAGTGGGTGGAAGTAACACAGGTGGAATTGAGAGATGGAGGAACTGGGTGGAAATGAAAAGAAGACAGGAGCACACACTCACAGACACATCTGAAGCAGACAGTCGGTCAGGAAAATTTACTCCCCGTAATAACCCTCTCTGTAGGCTGGCTGTCTCTGTGTCTCCTGGCTCCTTCAGCCCATAACACAACCGACCAGGTCACACCGACTCCCACACAGCACACACACCACTTCAGCCTGCAATCTAATGATCTCACACACTGGTACTCTGTGTGTCTGCGAGTGTGTTAGTGTGAATTTTCGGTTTCTCTGCGACGCGGAGCCTGTTGTTACAGAGTTTGTTTCCACCGTGGCTTCATATATTTTTCTCAAATTTTAATTTGCATACTTTTACTACACAGAGGCATCAAAATGGTTTTAATATCCCTCCCTTCACTCTGATGTTAGTGCCCTGGCTGTTTTATTCTCTCCTGCTTTAACAACCCACTTTCCCCATAGGGATCATTTAAAGTTTCATCTCCTCTATTGAAGCTAGGCCATGGTCTATTTAATTGGTGTTTCCAGCTCCCTACCCCCACCTCCTTCAACCATTCCCTTTAATAGTTTTGACATTTAAATGACATAGTACATATATTTAACCTCTCCAACTCATGGCCTTTCACATTCAGCGCTCATAATCAAGAAGCACACACAGTACACCTCCCATTATCTAGGATAAAAACACTAAATGTATGTAACCCGTTCAATCGTCTTTAAAGGCTCATTAAAAAAAAATAGGTGTAATCTGACCAGCTGTTCTAACCCCTGTCCCTCATGTCTCCCTGCGCAGTGACCAACTACAATAATGTGGTGGAGGCCGGCTCAGACTCAGATGACGAGGACAAGCTGCACATTGTGGAGGAGGAAGGTAGCCTGGCGGATGGGGCCGACTGCGACAGCACCCTGCCAGACGACGAGCACCCCAGGGAGCGCTGCTGGGACGGAGGTGAGACCAGACGCACTCTCACTGGGCACACTATTATCACACATCCGTACTGAATCATGCAAATACACACCTCAGCTCCCCACCCACCATTTCCGTAATGTTCTGTCACTTAAGTTCCACTTTTCTGCAGTGCGCAAAAGTTCAGCACAAGTGCTAATTTAATCTTATTTTCTGCTTTAAAATCTTATTTTCCTAGAATGTGAAACAATGATGCCAGTGGAGGATAACAGCACTTGATTTACTATGTGCCAAAATTGTCTTTAGGCGAGTGCCAGTTTATTGAGACATGGCAAAGTCAGGTCTTTCATGACACAAGTATCATCCAAATTCACTTCATTTCAAGTATCAGAACCAATGACTTCTTAAGATGTATATTATTATACCAAGTGTCTCTTTCACTGTCAGTCCTGCCATCATTAGGCTGGCAGAGTGTCTCTGAACGTAACACTTGCTCCTATCTGCTCAGGATAAGAGCATTACTTAGAAATGCCTCCAGCACATAAATGCAAATGAGTTACGCAGACTGTTATGACATCAATTGTTTGACTGCTGCTGTCTCATTTTGACCTCGGCTGACGTGATGCACGCTAAGTTAAGAAACGTCTCGCTGACATCTGTGCGCAGTCAAGTACCAGGCTTTGTCTCATTGTGAAACACAGAGTGTAAGGAAACAGGTACTACACGTGGTGGGTCTCCAACTAAGGCAGGAAGCACGATATTAAACAAAGACAATGCCAACAGAGGGAGAGACCTTCGAGCACAGAAAATAGCCTTGCAACCAGAGAGCCAGTGGAGAGCTTTATGGCACTGGTGGGCATTGGAGGGGCCGCCGTGAACTTCTTTTTACCTCAAACTGTATGGAAGTGACATCAGAGGCAGCCCCTTGCCACAGGAAGGGCCGACGTCACCCCCCCTCCTCCCTCCAAAACAACAATTGCAGGTGCTGAAGGATGTTGGTGTTTCAACCTGAGCCCAAGGCCTTATGTTGCTCTCCTGACCTCATACTGCATGTGTGTGTAAATCTGTGCGTCTGACGCTGTTAGTTTCGGGCCCGTGGCAAGTACAGTATGTGCAACACTGTGACAAGCCCATATGAGATGTAATTAGATATTCAGCCACAAGAATATTTATTTTAGGGTGTTGCTCCGAGCAGATTTTGGCCGGATTATTCATGGGTGAGAGATGTTTGAGACTGGGGGTTGTGATTTAGCAAGAGGTCAAGTTAGCACATGCGAAAATGTCCAGCGACCTATCACTTTAAGTTTAGGGAGGGATTTTCAGAAATTCCTCTCCAGTGAGTTGCCATCAGTTTCAGCTCTGTCAGTTTCACTTGCAAGGTTTCGGTTGCACATGCACACATACGTGTACACACTTAAACCACAGACCTGTGCACAGCGTAGCCACGTATTCCCCTGACTATGCTGTCATTTTCATCTCTGTTCTCCAGCTGTACCTCCTTGCATAGAGGGGAAAGTTGGAGGAAGAATAATGTCATTGGTTTTGGCCACGGCTTGTGAACATTAAACACTTCAAAAGCATGAGTTACACTGAAACAGCTCAGCGCGCTGGCTGCGCTCCACAGTTATGCCTGATCAGGCATATTTTCTTTTGCCTTCACTCATGTGCACACACACACCTCTCTTCCTTGCTCTCTCACTGTCTCCAGTCCTCGTCTCATACATCATACATACTTTGCTGTCACTCTGGATCGGACTGATGAAACGCGGAGAAAGCCACAGTCCTTTAAACAAACACACTTCTCTCTTCTCTCATCCCTTCATCCCTCCCCATGTCGGTTTCACTCCTGAGAACAGAGAAGTCTCTGGTGCAGCCTTGAAAAGTGACCACCACCCACTAATCTTCTCCTCAGCGTAGCCCAGTTTGCTTCAAATTAAAACCTTGACACCCCTTCTCTTGAGACTGCCGCGCTCCAAAACCAAAAGGTGGTTTTTCAGTGCTTTGCCATCTCTCCTCTCCTCTCTTTTTTCATGCTCTTGTTCCCTCTCACTGTTTCTCTTGTTCTGAATCATTCCTCTTGATTATATGGTATCATGGGCCCCCTGCTCGCTGTCATTACTCATTCACTCCTCAGTGATTATGTAGTGGTGGAACAGCCCAGTGTTGGTGCAGTAAACTGCAGCCTGCTCTCCTCTAAGAACAGGCTGACTAACTCCAGGGGAGTAAAAGGTAGAGAGAGTGTTGACCTGGGAGGGCTTCTCGATGAGTTGTAGAGCATGATTACATCTCAGAGAATGGGCAGGGTGGAGCTGGAGAGCTTTGATATCATGGACCTGCAATGGCACTTAATCAGAGCAAAAGGCTGGGTTTAACTGCATGGAAGTATAGCCTAAGGCCACAAGAAGATGAGCTGGTTGTTTGTTGAGAGTGTTTGATGGGCACTCATGCTGTACTGCATTATTCCAACCAGCAGTGAAGTTGCAAGGCTCTCATGCACAATAAAACTTACTTTTCCTCACTGTTGGCCTGCAGTGATGATAATTGATGTTCCTTAGAATTGGTCTCAAATCCTTTTGGATCCTTTTTGCTGCAGGGACTCTGTGGACACACAGGAACACCTACATTCCTGCGTGCCTTATGTCACGATGTGATGATAACACTGAGCCACCCTTCTGGACAGGAAGGGGAGAATCTTCAGAGGGAGCTGAGCTGGGAACATTGTCCGGTGGGGACATGCTGCACAAATGCATAAGCAACTCATCCTAGACTTACTAATGACTGTGGAATACTTGAGCTGTTTGTGCAAATCTGTATCGCTGATATGTCTCTGCCGTCCAAGATAGAATCTTCGAATGGGTCTGGAAGCACGGCCACAGGAAGCAGTGGGGGCAAAGGTTGGCCACGGCAGGAAATGCATCATGGGATACTGTTGTATCATGTTGCAGAGATGCGGGCAGAGAAGGATGAGAAGGGAACAAGGGAAAGAGAAGAGGAGAGAGTGGGTGGTCTGGTGATTTTGTTCTAAGACGTACTACGGTAAGGTTACTCTGTAAAATAAATACAGAACAAACTACTTTTTTAGATCAGAACTACATCAGAATGTCCTGCCACAACCTCACGGGGGCCCTCGTTCTGGGGCTTTTGAACCGATTTTCCACTTGTGCAGTGGTGCATTCACATCCCTGCGTCAGCACATAAATGGCCTGTGTGATGTTTCATGCCAGGGGAGCAGCCTGATAACACGGGGCCGCCTCAGTGAGGCTGTTAACCTTCTGGCCCCGCTCTGTACTTAACAAAGAGCCAAGAGAGACAAACACAGACACACACACAAGGAGCGAAAACAACAGCTTGTCATACCTTTGCACCACAGACCCCCAACTGGGACTCTACTTCACACACATGCTCAACATTTAGTAGCCTAGAGGTGTGTCTGAGTGTTTGGATGCTGCCTTTGAGCAGGGGATGGGAGCTAAACACAGTCAGATCAGCACTTTCCCACATGCAACATGCTTTACAACGTCAACAGCCAACAGCAATCTGAAAAATACGAGACAGTTAATTTAAAGTAATGGTTTGACAAGTTGTGAAATTGTCTTTCTTCTCCAATACCACTCTCATATCTGTCTCTTAAATATAATGCTACAGCCAGCAGTCAGCTTAGATTTGTAAAACTGGAAACAGCTAGAGGGTAAGGTTTTTTTAAACTTACAGAGCCAGGCTAGCAGTTTCCACTTATTTCTAATGTTTACGCTAAGTTAACTAGCTGTTAGCTGTAGATTCATATTTAATTCACAGATGTGACAGTGCTATCAAATTTCTGAATACCACATTTCCCAAAATGTCAAACTATTGCTTTAAGATGCTAAAAAATGTCTAGGGATGTTGCTGATGCTGTTGAGGTCATGGGAGAAAAGCTGTGTGATATGTGGGGGTTAGCAGCCCCTAATGTGCTCCTGACCCCCCTCTGTATGATGAGAATTCCACAGTTTGCCTTTCTCAGCACCAGCTGCTGGCTTCTGCTTTACATACACATGTTCACCAACACACAGCCTCTTTCTCTGTGTTATCTCTCATGGGTTTCTTACAGGGTGGGAGGTTTCTTCGAATGGTCTTCATAGCCATAACCATAGCAACAAATGACTGCGCTCGTATTGTTTCATGGCTTTGTTAAGGTGCACCAGAGGAAGCTGGAGCAGGGCTGTAGTATGTTAAGAGTACTGGTATTCACTGTGCGGCGGTGAGTCATGAAGCGCTACACCTGTTCCCATCTCTGCGGAGAACACAGCTGGCCCTGTCTTTCAACACGCACACAATTCACAAAACACAATTCTCAAATCTCCTGGAAGCAGGGGGAGTGCTTAAATCAATCGGTAAAACATCTGCCCAGTAAACACAACCACAGTGTCCACAGTAGCCTAACTTTGCTTTTAGCTGATAGCTCACCCTTGTAATTATTCTGTGTAATGATACACTAAGGAACACTAACATATCCATTGAGGAATAATGCTCGGTGTAATCGCCGACACACTATACTTGGTTCCGGTATCCTCTTCAGGAAGCTCTGGGAGAGCAGAGATGGAAAAGGGGAAGGAAGCTTTGTGCATCCTAAACTCATCCTCAGGTTACACTTCCTATAAGCCTCAGCTTGGTAATTAGTGCTCGTTAGACTAGCTAGCCGGGCTCATGTGATGTGGAGGAAGAGCGCGCTCGGCTCCCACATGCAGGCTCTCATTTGCTGGGATATTAAGCACAGTCTGAAGGCCAAGCCTCTCCAGAGAGCAGAGTGCGGTGTGTGTGTGTGTGTGTGTGTGTGTGTGTGTGATATCTATCCACCGCAACACATCAGGACAAGATTCATCATCTAATTATCAGTCCCAGTCTCAACAAGTACCTTACCTAACATTGTGAATAGAGGCTTGCCATTCAGTTCTTACAAAGAGCTTGATGCTCATACAGTAGCCTGTGGCCTTTGATGCTAATTAGTTTTCTCTTCCTATTGTGAACAACAGCATTCAGGATGTTTGTTTTTTTTCTCCCGGCGCCACATGCCTCATTCCAGGCTGGTTTACATGTCATGATCAAGGGCTTGGACACTAAGATCCGGCTCAGCTATAATGACACTCTCTGTGACATTATTGGATTATCGCATTTCATATACAAAGGTTAGGGTTTCATATGCACAGCCCGCATCGATAGAAAGACATGCAAGTCTCGAAATAACGGGGTAGTCGATAATTCCTTTCGACTCTAATCAGTGTGTGTTTGTGTCTTCACAGTGAAGGAGGATTGTGTGTCTGACGGCGAGGATGACGTGAGCACGGACGCCCTCATGGAGGAGATGCTCCAGCAAGGGGACACGGCCGTCATCTACCCAGAAGCCCCCGAGGATGAGCCTCAACGTCAGGGCACCCCTGACACCGGTGTCCATGATGAGAATGGTACACACACAGCATTCACAGCCCGTTCATGTCATGCAAAAAACTATTAAAACACTCTTAACGAGATCATTTTTGTGTCCCTTTCTGGAAAAACTATTATGAGCTTTTGCTTTAAATGTCATTCATATCTTTATTTGTAGCACACACAAGCAAGGTGTAGTGTCCCTAAATCATACACACACTGAAACACACACCACTGTTTCCACCCAAGAGCGCACAGTCGCTGAGCTCTCACACTATTACTGCACCTACCCAGTAATTACCCGCCCCCTGGGGATGGCTCTACCTGCTCCCTGTCTCACCTCAGGTGTTAACTCCACCCCATTAACGCCACTCTCCGACATCATTACACACACCGCTATTTGTTAAGTGCGGCACACTGGGGCCTTTATTGCTCTCAGGCTTTTGGCTTTTACCTGCTACCACAGAGGAGAAAAAAGAGAGGGAGGAGGGGAGGGTGAGAGGGAGAGGGGAGGAAGAGAAACAGCAACACCTGAGTAAATTTGTCACGTATGTGCAAGCTCTGACTCACATCTACCTGGGCGATAATGTGTGTGCATTCCCATCCCGAGGCCCTCACCTGTCCCGCAGGGGAACTTAATACATCACCTGTTAACAAAGTAATGCTTTACCTGTGTGGGAGCCAGGCAACTGAGACCCTCTGTTAACCAGCTTGGATTGAGGCAGGCGGCTGTTGTTTACCGAGCTCACTTTTCCTTGCATGCGTGGGTGTTTTTGAAGCGGTTCTAAAGCACAATAGGCAATCAAATGATGGAATTTCAGGCGTGTGAAAGCTGTAATCGCTGGGCTTTGTGTCAGTACAAGGACAAAAGCAAAAATAAAATACACTCCTGCACTGACAACCCAGCATACTGTTTTTATAATGAGAGGAAGGCATTACTATGGATCACTAATTAGCTTTTATCCATTTGGTTACCTGGGTACTGTTTACCTGTAGGGGACGATCTCGCAGAGATTGGTGAAATAGCAGAGGAGTGTTACTGTGGCAGGCCTTGTGTAACATCAAAGAGCCCTCCCCTTATTGACCATGTGTTTTTAACCCCCCCTCACATTTGCCATTACAACACTCTCCTCTTTTTTTTCCACCCAGGAACTCCTGATTCTTTCTCTCAGCTGCTCACCTGCCCGTACTGTGCACGTGGCTACAAGCGTTACAGCTCCCTGAAGGAGCACATCAAGTACCGGCACGAGAAGACCGAAGAGAGCTTCAGCTGCCCTGAGTGCAGCTACAGCTTCGCGTACCGTGCTCAACTGGAGAGGCATATGACGGTCCACAAGGGCGGACGGGATCAGGTAAAAACTGACGAACAAACTAGTCAGGACTGGATACTGATAAAACACATTCTGCAGAAACTGAAAAATCTCCCATTCTGGTATCTTCTAAGCTTCTAAAGGTGTAAGTGGAAATGCCGTTTAAGCAAACTTCCCTTTATTGGATTAAGTACTTTCATGCAATGCAGCCAGATGATTTGTGAATGATCTTTTATGAGCATACTACTGGTCTGGTACTATAATAATGAAATATACTCATTAACATGAAACATTTTCACCATTTAGCCAGATAGTGAAACTCAACATTTTATTTATGTTTACTTATGTATCTTTTTACATTTATCCCTGCTTCAGTTGATATTCTAATATTGATATGTATCAGTCTACACGAGACATTTTTTTCTTTAAATACTAGTGTGGCTGGGTTACTCGTGATTGGTTTCAGTGGCACACTTCTTCTGTAGTGCTGTAGTAATTCTGCACTGACAAAGTGATTCTAAATTATGCAAACCTACATAGAAGCTTAGTCCTGTTTCTTTAGCAGCTCATTTCCAAACATGATAAATAAACATGAGCTTTTGCCCCCGATTGATTAATGACATTGTGACATGAATTAGTAGCAGTTCAAAGGTTGTGTTTTCATCATGTATCTCACTGAATGTCCTCTCTCCCCTCGTCTGACAGAGACACATCACACAGTCGGGAGGCAATCGTAAATTCAAGTGCACTGAATGTGGCAAAGCATTTAAATACAAGCACCATCTGAAGGAGCACCTACGCATCCACAGCGGTGAGTGGACAACCCTTTTCGCCATGGCAGCATTCTGTGTGTTAGTGTATGGCTACGTGCGGTCCAGTGTCTACTTCTTTGCCGTCATTATCTGCTTAGCACAGATTTTTCAATGTCCATTGGACCAATATTTATGTTGTATTTACGTTTGAGCCGATTCCCTGTGTTTAGATATCCTTCATCGTGTTTCAGTCCATTGTGTGCTCTTCCTTAATGTGCCATAATTGTGTTTCTTTTGGCATTATGGGACAGCAATTAGAGAAGGGCATTTCCCAATGGTACCATTACATCAGCGTTTAAGCATCATTGAAATGCATTAGAGCTTTTTCCTGCCATACTGCTCATAGCCTAGCTTCCTCATTTAGCTTCATTCACTAATGGAAATCTGTCCCCCCCCTTTTATTCTCTCTGTTATACACATCGATCGTTTTATACAGGAGAGAAACCCTATGAGTGCTCCAACTGCAAGAAGCGGTCTCCCACTCAGGCTCATACAGCTCCCACATCAGCAGTAAGAAGTGCATCAGTGTCATCTCAGTTAACGGCAGAGCACGCTTGGGGAACGCCAAAACCCAGGCCCAGGGTCCATCACCAGTGCTGCCCACGCCGCCCTCAGTCCTCCGCACCCAGATTAGAGAGAAGCTGGAGCACAGCAAGCCCCTGCAGGAGCAGCTGCCATTCAACCAGATCAAGACTGAGCCTGTGGACTACGAGTACAAGCCGACGGTGATAACATCCCCAGCTGTGACCACCATGAATGGTGGGATTTTCAATGGAGGTGCTGCAGCTCCTCTGCAGGGCACAGTGCAGGCTGTGGTCCTGCCTACCGTGGGGCTGGTGTCGCCCATTAGCATCAACCTGGCAGACCTGCAGAACGCTCTCAAAGTGGCGGTGGATGGTAACGTCATTCGCCAGGTGCTGGAAAGCAATGCCAAAGGCCAGGGACAGGTGAACTCGGGGTTAACCACTGGAACTCTCCATGCCCCTCAGCAGCAACTCATCTCAGCTATCAGTTTGCCTATTGTGGGTCAGGATGGAAATGCAAAAATCATTATAAACTACAGTTTGGACCCCAACCAGGGCCAGCTCACAGCCCAAAACCTGAAGAAAGAGCCTAAGCCAAGTTCACCAGCTCAGACCACCACTGACACCTTCAAGTCCCAGAAACTCCCAGAAGATCTTACCATCAGAGGCACCAGGCCCAATGAGACTAAAGAAAAAGAGGAAAAGACCACTAAAACCTGTCTCCTGTGTGATAACTGTCCTGGTGGGCTGGAAGCACTCCATGCCCTCAAGCACTGCAAGAAGGATGGTCTCAGGCTGAACGGAGCAGGCCTGGATAAGTCTGAGTCTGCTGTCGCTGCCCTGCTGTCAGAAGGAGGACTCTGCAGCCAGCCCAAGAACCTCTTGTCCCTGCTCAAGGCCTACTTTGCCTTAAATGCAGAACCCACCAAGGATGAGCTAGCCAAGATCTCTGACTCAGTCAGCCTGCCAATCCATGTGGTTAAGAAGTGGTTTGACAAAATGCAGGAGGGTCAGATATCACTTGGAGCCCCAACACCTCCCTCAGAGGAAGAGGACACCTGTGAGGCTAACAGTGTGGTGTCTCTGGTCCCAGGGAAGGACATGGCCAATATGAGCCCTTCTGTGACCCAGGATAGCCCTACAGAAGCCACCCCAGCTGAGGTCAACAGCACTCACAGCTCACCGGCCTCCCCCTCACCACTAAACCTGACAGCCGGCGGTCCCGTCCCAGCCCAGCCTTCCCAGAGCACTGAGGGACCCCTAGACCTGTCGCTGCCAAAGCCAGCCAGAGAGGAAGTGGAGAGAGTGGTGGCTAAAGCCCGCATTTACCCCTCCCCTTCCTCTGGCTCTACCAATGTGGATGAACCCCTAAACTTAACTTGCACAAAGAAAGAGACATCGCCACTCTCAGCCATGGGCACCAGCCCCATCGCACTGTACGCCAGCCAGCCAAGTGCCAAACCCCTCGACATTGTGACCACAATGCAATGCCTAAGGGCACTAGCCACTAACAACAAACAGACTATCCTGATCCCCCAGCTGGCTTACACCTATACCACTACAGCAAACAGCCCTGCAGGGACGGAGACGCAGGAAACCATCCACCTCAACGGAGTGAAGGTGTGCAACCATTTATTTCCCCTTATGTTGGTAATAGTTTGACATGTTGGGAAATATGCTTATTTATATAGTTAGATGATCAAGCTACAGCCAGCAGCCAGTTAGCTTAGCTTAGCACAAAGACCGGAAACAAGGACCTCTAAAGATTACTAATTAACATGCTAGAATTAACTTGTTTGTTTAATCTACACAAACAACAAGTGTAAAAATGAGTGTAGTAGTTATGTGCTGGATTTTTTGGGCGTTTAATCAATAGTGACAGTTGAAGAGTGACAGAATTTACACGTAGCAAAGGGCCATAGGTCGGATTCAAACCCTGGGCTGCTGCAGAAAGGACTCAGCCATGGTACATGGAGTGCTAGGTGGTCTACTGTATACAAGGCAGAATTTTATTTTTACATTTTCACAGCTTTTTTAGCTTCCTCTGCATTTTAGAGTTGCTTTTTGTGCCCCTAGTTTCATTGGAGGTCAGCCACAGCAAACAAGTTTGACTCTAAAACTCTTATTTTGTCAAGGAATGGACTCAGCGTCTTATCCGGTAGCCATTTCAAGAAGCAAGTGGATTGGAATCAAGTTGGCTTTTCTCTTTGTGGAGTGATCAGTCAAACCCTTCAGTCCAGATCATTACTTCTTATTGTTCAAAACCACTGGAACATGATAGATAGTCTGAAACCATCCAAAATCTAATCAATAAGTCATATATAGAAATGTCAGAATTCAGTGCTTTGTAAAAATGATAACCCTTAATAGTTCTTCATTGTGCGGACACCTAATGGGCCTGTAATGATGGATGTAGATCTTTCTGGGTGTATGAGTGATCTTCCTGGGCTGTCACCAAGAGGACATGAGGCTGCACTTTACTGCAGAGCCCCTATTGATCTGTGGGAATCTGTTTAAACGGCACACCTCTGCCTGCCTCATTGATTTATTGTTGTTGTATTATACGTTCGTGTTAAGTGGATTGGCATAGACCTGCCTTGTAAAAAAAGAGCCCTGTGTATATATCTTCTCTTTAATATTGCCTCACATCCTCTCTCACTGCATCAGTGGATGAGTTTTATCAGCCCAGGCCCAGGAGAATACAGAATGTACGTGTGCTCCAGAGTGAACGGTGTGGTTATGTTTTAGGCTAGGCAAAAGATTGTTGAAGTATACCTGGAAATTTGGCTGATTTTCATTTCACAACTGCCTCCAGAGAAGCTATGAGTAGGACATGACACAGCATAATTTCCTGTAGTGCACGCACACAAGTTGTTCAATAGTGCTGGCACTTTTCTGGCTTTTTGCTGTAAAACAAACAGAAAAACCTCACTTTGAATTCTTACCAATACATCTGTGTGTGTAATTTCTCCAGGAGGAGAAGCAGGACACGGGCTCAGAGGGCGTGTCCACTATGGAGGAGCAGAATGACTCCGACTCGGGCCCTCAGAGGAAGAAGATGAAGAAGACGGACAGCGGCATGTACGCCTGCGACCTGTGCGACAAGATCTTCCAGAAGAGCAGCTCGCTGCTGAGACACAAATACGAACACACAGGTAAATAAATACAAACTCTAATGTGCTTCCCAGGCCTACACATGAACACAGCCAAAAAACACAGATGGACTCTGAAAAACACACAAAAAAACACAGAACCGGAACTTGTCTCACCATCACTCACTGTTAGATCCTGGGAAAGATGAGTCAGAGTGCAAGCAAAAGGGGGATTTTGAGCTATAGCGTAAAGAAGGGTGGACACCTCCATTCCAGCAGGTATTACTCAACATGCACAGAAGAGGTCTGAGAACTTCTTTCCGCCAACTCCCCACCTCTGCACTGCCAGCTTCTCATGTGAAGCACCAAATGTTGCAACAGGCGAGCTCTGGTAGTGATTTGGATTGCTCTAAGATGGTGATTCTGTGGCCAAGTGTAGGTCAACGCTCTCAGAGGCGTTTTAGTTTGTCTTTTTTTTTTTTTTCTTTATTGCTCTGATACCTGGCTTGCAACCACTGTTTTCAGCTCCAAATGACCTCATCTTAGGTGAAACTAGCTGTTCCTTGCCTGGATAAAGTTTCCTTGAAGGTTTTCAGGCAGAATTGTTGTAATTTTGTTGTATTGTTTTGAAATGTTCTCCTTGGATACCTCAATGATAGATGCTGTTATGGGCCTCTCAAGCTTTCGCGCTTTCACGCAACAATGTGGGGGATTCACTGCGATTGCACTGCAGTGTTTATTGTTTTCCTCCCGTGTCTGTGCTTTGTTACTCAACAGCATTTTTAAATTTCTTAAACAGAGATGTTGATCCGTATTTGTTCTCTCTGCAGGGAAGCGACCTCACGAGTGCGGCATCTGCAGCAAGGCCTTCAAACACAAACACCACTTGATCGAGCACATGCGGCTCCACTCGGGGGAGAAGCCGTACCAGTGCGACAAGTGCGGCAAGCGCTTCTCCCACTCAGGCTCCTACTCGCAGCACATGAACCACCGCTACTCCTACTGCAAGAAAGAGACGCAGAGCCAGGGCGGAGGCCGGGAGAGCCCCGAAGAGGACACTGAGGCCCAGGCCGAGATGGAGGCCCTGAGCCGGGTGCAAATGCGGCACCTGGCCCCCTCCCTGCTGGACTCGGACGAGCGAGGGAGCAGCACCAGAGAGGATGAGGAGAGCGAGGAGGAGGAGGAGGAGGAGGAGGAAAGTGCTGTGGACATGGATGACATCCAGGTGGTGCAGATAGGTGATGAAGGAGGGGATGAGGAGGAAGAGGAGGAGGCAGAGAGGAATGAGGAGGAGATTGAGAGGGTATTGGTGGAGGGAGGAGGAGAGGAGGTGAAGACGGAGATGGAGGTGAGAGAGGAAGAAGAGGAGGCTGACACAAGGCAGGAGGAGGTGCTCGGGAGCATTCAGGAAGAGGAGGAAGTCCAGATGGAAGAAGAGGAGGCGATGGATATGGAAGAAGGGGTGACGGAAGAGGGGGAAGCAGAGGGGGAAGTCACAGAGGAGAGCGGAGGCGAAACAAACAGGAACACGGTTTCTGAAGACCAGAGCCAAACGCCGCAGGATAAAGGAGATATTGACTAAAAGAGGAATCAGACTCCTCCACGTGACACAATCAGATTCCTCCTCTCGCCGCACAGAGGAGGAACGCAGGAGATGATGTCTGGTCGCTCTGACAGTTCGTTTCAGTTCACTACTGTGTAGAAATCCAGGTGTGCCTGAAAAAATACTAGTGACTTTTCCACAGGAGAACAATTTCTCACTGTTAGAAAAATCCATTTGTAAAGAAAATGATGAAGACGAACACAAATTTTAACAAACGAAGGAAATGCATTATACAGACTTTGGAAGCTAGAGCCGACACGTTTTAGATAATGTTTTATTACTAAAACACCGTGGGTCATTTCTTTTTATCAGTGTTACTAATTTTATCACTCATATTTTAACCTTTAAAAGCTGTACAGTTGGGAGATATTTCTATACCTTTTTATTGCCAATGAACAAAAAAAAGTCAGTATTTTATTAAGTTGGAAGGAAAATAAGAAAAATCCTGTGCACTACAAGTGGCTTGGTTTACCTATTGAGCAGTTGAGTTGTGTTGTCTACCCTTCAGTATTACCGCACTAGATATACCACGCCATCACGCTTGCAGATGTGAGCATAACATGTCTTTTGATGTTATTTTGATTGGCTTGTGAGCCTTAAGAAGAAAAACAGTGGAGAGAGGACACGTTTTTTCGGTCATTTAGTTCCTTTTAGACACAAGTTTCTTTACCAATCAGTGTTTTACAGGAATAGTTTGACACTTTGGGAAGTATCGTTATACCCCTTCTTAGTGAGAGTTGGATGAGAGGGTCGATACCTTATAGCCAGCAGCCACCAGAACAGTGGGGAAACTGCTAGCTAAAGCTAAATCTTATGGAATCCCATTTCTGCCAATGTGACAAAAAAGGATTCTGTTAATCATTATAATGAGAAACTTTGTCAATATTTTGACTTAGTATCTTAAAATAATGACTTTGTATCAGCAAAGTCATTACTTCTGTAAAATCTAAAGCTGCTAAAGCTAACATTTAGATAGATATTGCTTATCTACTGCTCCACACTCCAGTCCAGTAGGTGGCGGTAATGCATGCCGGACTGTTTCTAACTTCCAGACAGAGCCAGGCTAGCCGTTTTCCCACTTATAATTGCTAAGCTAAGCTAACCATCTTGTGGCTGTAGCTTCATATATACCGGACAGATACAAGTTTGGTGTATTTTTGGTGTCCCAAAATGTGGAACTATTGCTTTAAATGTTCAGAGCGAGCAGAAAAGGGGATGTAGAAAACTGTCTGACCTTCCCTATACTCACCCCCCCACTCCGAGCCATATGCAAAAAATCTAACTAAAACAAGAGAAACATGCATATCAAAAGTGCCATTGAATATTGCTGTTGCAGTTTAGCAGCTATGATCAGGTATTGCCGGGTCCCAGATCAACCAATAAGCCGGAATACTGTTGACTTTGGCTCGCCACCACACCTGAGAGAGTTTAGCCTACCACCTATTCATGTATCATAGACTATAGATAAGTTGCTTTTCTTTCCAATCTGAGCGGCTAAAAGAATTACAATGCACATGTTTTCTAATGGATGATGATGAAGTATGGTTTCTAATTGTTAACTGTGTCCTGCCTTTTCAAAGCTTATTCAGTGCACTTCTTTAACACACCATGAAACGCTCAGATGTCTCTTCAGGTAACAAAATGTAGGCAAATATGAATCCCAGGAGTTTAATTCAACAATGTTTTTACCTGTCAGTATTATTTTTTTGTCTCTTATGTTGTTGTACGTTCTGTTTCAGTGTGTGTACTGTATGTTTTTAAGCAATGGCAGTATTATCCCCACCCCCAAGGAGATGGGTATGTCTGTTTAGTCATAGAGAACTTTTATATTTATGTGTCTTATTTTTTATATTTCTTTATGGTTATTTATTACACTATGTAGTGTACAATACTGTAGTTTGTATTAATACGATAATATATTTTAGTATGGAAAAAAAAGATTCAAAGGCAAATAACTACAAGCCTGGAAAAATGAGACTCCAGCATACTGAAGTATGTTTTTCGAACAAACAAAATGATGTTTTTCGTTGGGAAAAAAAGAAACTCGCACCCTGCAAGCCTGAAAATTGGAACCTGTGACCTCTCTGCATCCATTCTCATGTTAGTTTAGTTTTCTTTCCCCTCTCTAATATGAAGCTACTGAACTTTTGAAAACTAATAGTATGTCTAATAGCATGAGTGTGTGCTGTTTTATTGAAGGATTATCCTTAACCACACAAACTGTCCTTTTTGCCAAGCCAAAATAATATTGACGTATGTTCTTATGTTTTTATTTGTGCCAATTTGTTACTTTATATGTCAGTGTCAAGACCACACCCACTTTTATATGCCCCTCCCCCTTTAACACCCTCATCTTTTTTTATAGTGATTGTTTTTTGTTTGTTTTCTCTTTTTTTGTTCATTTTTTATGACTCCCCATCTCACAATAAAATTCATCAATTACAAGCTGCTGGGTTTGATATGAGATTGTTATTGATAAAATCACACAATGTTAAGTTGTTGCTTACACTCCAATATTCAAGAAAATATTGCAATTAAAAAATCTCACATGGGACCACTTCAAAAATGTAAGAAGAAAGGAAAAAAGATTCAGAACATAATTTAAACATTAACCCTAATGTTCTGTGTGGGATCCTGGAGACCTGGGCTGTCTTTATTAGCTCAAAATGATGGGGGTCTGTGAAGCCCCAAATACTGATGAAGTAAGACCAGTATCAGTAGTACAACAAGCTAAAAGAAATAGTTGCACATTTTGAGACAAAGGGCTTTTTTGCTAAGCTAACCTGCTGCTGAATGTAGCTTCTTATTTAACGTACAGACATAAGAGGTGGATCAATCTAACTTGTTAAGAGAGCAAATAGGTGCATTTCCCAGGAAGTCAAGCAACTCGTTTAAGCTAAACTTCATTATCTGAATATATTGTGGACCTGCTCATAGCCCTCAGTGATCAGTCAGAACCCCCATCTCCGTCCAGTCTGCCTGTTAGCAGCCCAGCCCAAGGTCAACCCTATTGATCCAGATTAGGTTTCCAACAGGGTCGACCCTCCTCCTGCCCCCCTCACCCCCAGCCCCTCCACCAGCATGAATTAGTAATGGAATGGACTAAAAATCCATAGTCTTTTGAGGAGTTGAAAATGATACATTAGCTGGTGAACATATTTGATAGTTCTCCCTGATGTTTTTTTTTTGTCTTCCCAGAAGCACTGACTGGTTCTACTTCCGAAGGACGGTTTTGGGGGGCATTTTCAGGAAAGTCCTTAAGTCTTAAAAGGTGCCACTTGTCTTTGTTTTAGGGGAAAGTAGGTGTGAATTGGATGGGATTCAGACTGCCACAGCCTCTCTTTGTTTGTGGATGGAGTGCTAGAACTGTAACTACCTGAGCTCAAGAGAGGGTGTTTGTTGGGGGACTGTGTGACAGAGAAGGTTTGACCCTGCCATCATGTTGAATGGGTCCCCGGAGACACGCAGAAGAGGGGGGGTGGTGGTGGAATAATGCTTTATAGGACAGCTCACGCCATAACATTACTGTGTCAAACTGCTCCAACTGCATCTTGTAATTGTGCTTATTATAAATGTCTTTAACAGTGGTCACAGTAGCCCCGAGGCACCGCTCTCAAACTCCAAAAAGGTCAAAGAGTGTGTAGCCTGTGGCTGCATGTTCAGGATGCGGGGCTGTTTTACAGGCTTTCAGTCCAATCCGGGACTTAAAGCCAAGATATTGCCATATGTTCTGCTGGGCTCAGCATTTCAAAGGAAAATTGAAAAGCTATAACTGCTAAGAGGATATGGAGTGCTCTTGCCAATAATGGTGCAAAAGCCTGATGAAGTATCATGGCTGCCGGGACTCTGACACCGAGCCAAACCCAGGGGGCTGAAGCTCCCCGGGGAAATTTAGAGAAAAGCCGGGAGGAGGAGGAGGAAAGAAAAAGCCAGGGCTCAGGAAATAGCAGTCACTTAAATATCATGTTCATTTACTCAACCACTAAATAGCAGAACGTACACAGAGACATTATATATGTGAGTGTGTGTGAGTGTGTGTGTGTGTGTGTGTGTGTAAAGGGGCAGGTTAATATGCCACTTCACGTGACAAATTGCTGTTTCAGAGCTCCATTTTTAACACAGTGGTCAGCATAAGCTCATACGTAACTGAAAATCAATTTACTCACCTATAGAACCTGTGAGACATACAGGAAAACATTCTAAATATATTGCTGGTCTTTACAGTGCAATAGACTTGTCAAACCAACCATTACACATTCAAGTCACAATCAAAACATAACTCACAGAAACACTTTGTAACTTAATTCTTGATGGCAAAATCATTCTTTACTGTTGTTTGGATATTAAAATTCCATGTATGGTATGACTTATTGCTTACACTTGTATATAATAAGAAACCTGATCAGTTATATACAAAGCATAACACGCTAAAAAAAAGTACAACATAAAGCATGATACAGCAAAAAAGCTTAACATAACATGAAAAATAATAATAATGTTATGTCAGGTTTGCTTAACATAACATAAGGCATGCGTCATCGGTCAGTTCAATATTCAAATCACTCTGATTTCCAATATCAAAAGCATAAAGGAATGCATGTATTATACTATAAAACATAACTTTTTTGAGCCACTCCTGTGAATTAAAAACAACTCCAAAATGAATTCTTGAATAACTTAACTGTTTTGAGTGCACTTAACTTATCTGTGCAGTATTTCCAGTATTGGTCATATAATTCCAGTTTGTTCCACTGACTAATTTTCTTTAAGTGACTTGATATAATTACAACAGTGCTATAAGGCTGTGTATAGGATTTCCCCCTTTTCTTTACCATTTGGATAATCGATTAATTCTAAGTTGTTTTTATCCTAGTCAGCTGTTTTGACAGGTAATGTAATCATTTGCTGTAGTGGAAGAAAACTGAGTAAATCCAATGCAAGTGGTAACATTTGGATAAATAAGATGGATTTATATAACTCTTGTGTATTTATTTTCATGGTTAAATTGTTTGAGTTAATCTACTTACTTGCTTTAGGTTATTTTCATTAGAATTGCACCCAATGACACTGATACAGAACTTAAAGCTCCTGCAACGTTTGAACAGCACTTCCTCACCTTTTGTCAATCTATTCCCTCTGATTCTGAGAAACAATCTGCAACACATGCACACACACACACACACAACACAGCAACCTTGCAAGCGGTCAAAGGACTCCAGTCAACAACTGAGGAGGTCAGTCGTGAACATTTGTGTGTGTGGGGAGGCTGGTGGCAGCAAAGGGTTGATTGGATTGTCATTGCGCTGTATTTAGCTCGTACCTTAAACATCTCCCTCGAACATTACCCTTCAGCTACAGTAATATGAAACCAATCGTTAACCATGTCGAGATCCACCAAGGTTTTAGGTGTCCTTGTTTTGCAGGGAGTCATTATCAATCGTGGTCACCTTTTACCAATCACTTCAATCACAAGTAAAGCTTCTCTACTCCCCAACGCACACACACATACACCCCCTGTACACACATCTTTCTTCTTTTTCCTTCCGGCTGAATCCTATTACAGTGTTTCTCAGAGATAAGCCCTGGTGAAATCTATCTATAAATGAAATTTATGCATCATCGTTTAAGCTTGTAATTGCTTAGAGACTCTATTCATTTTATTAGACAGCATATCTTCTCCATTGAGTGAATGTGTTCATAACTGCGTTATTTTGTCCTCTTTTGTGCACTTTGGGTTGCTTTGTAATAAGGACAATGAGTTGATAGCTTTACACACACTCATTCTCAAATCACATTCGCTCACTTTCACTCTCTCTGTCTCA